GATGACCTGCGCGGCGGTTGGGGCGGTTGGGCGGTTAGGGCGGTTAGGCGGCCGGGCGGTCTTGCGGCCGGTTGCTCGGCAGTTGGCGCTTCCTAAACTGCAGACGGGGGCGCGTCTAGTCGTCGCGCTTTGCTGCGTGCGAGCAGCGGGCCGCCACCTTTGCTGCCAGCTGCATGGCTGGCGTGGCCGCCGCTTGCTTCCCCTCCTGCGCAACTGCCTGCACCAGTCTCGGCAGGCCCAGCGAGGCTGCAAAAGTAGTGTGCCAACTGGGCGGCGGGCCCAAAAGCAGAGGGCGCACCTGCAGGCCGTACTTGCGCGCCGTCTCCAGCACAAAGTCCAGCGCCTTGAGACCGCGCTCGTCGTACACGCCAGGCGCCGTCTGCGGTGCGACACAGACGTCCGGCCCTCAGCTCTGGAGCCCTGCGCACTCCACATGCGCGCTCTGCATGCCTGCGCGCGCCCGCACAGCGCTGACTGTGCATGCACGCCCCTGCGCGTCGCGGCCGCCGCGGCGCGTGCGCCATCCACTGCCTCGGCGTCCCCGCGGGCCTCGACCCCCGCGGCGGGCCCGCGCGCCCCTGGGCCGCACCTGGAAGGGGTAGAGGCTGGTGGTGGTGTGGGCCCACATGCGGATCGTGTTGATGCCGCTGGCGGCCGCGTCCCGCAGGGTCTGGTCCACGATGTCCGCGCCAGAAAGGTTGTCTGCAGGAGGGCGCAGGGCAGAGACGGGAAAGGAACACCAGAGGGAGAGGGCGAGTGAGAGCGTGTCCGGCGCGCGGCGCCGCCGCGCAGGCCGGCGCTGCGCCGCGCCATCCGCCTCAGCCTCCGCGGACGTGGGCGCGGACGTGGACACGGGCGGTCTGGTGGCCCCGGGGCGGCGCGCCGCTGCCCCTGCTGCGCCCCGCAGCGCACCAACAGTCTCCGCGCGCTTCGACACCATGGATGCCTCCACCAGCTCGTACGCGTTGAAGCCCGCAGTGTAGTAGGGGCGGCAGAAGCGCTCAAACTGACAGGGTCGGGGCGCGCGAGAGGGGTCAGGCGGTGCGGCGCGAGCGGTTAGGGCCCAGAGCGGTCTTTGCTGTTGACGGGTGTCTACACCCGGACACCCACGAACAGCTGCCATGTTGCTGCATGGTTTCAGCAGCCATCATGCGTGCAGCTGTCTGCGCCAGGGCGGCATCGGCTGCTTTCATCGCCAGCTGCTGCTGCTGCTGCTTCTGCTGCTGTTGCTTGTGGTGGTGCTGCTGCGGTGCTGATCCTGCCAGTCACTGCCAGCCGTTGCCAGCTGATAGAGAGGGCAAGCTGCCAGTGATCGCAATTGCTATCCGCACGGTGGGCCCCGTCCACCTGCCTGGCAACGTGCTGCTAGAAACCTGCACTCAGCCAACGCATGCAGCAACAAGTGCTGACGCTGGGGACAGGGCTGGCACCTCCCTGCACCAACTCCCTGCGGGTCCCTCCAGCTGCACATGAGCTCCACATACCCGCTGCGCCGCGCGAAAAGAAACGCACCGTCTGGTCTGTGATCTTCAAAAACGCCTCCTTGACCTCTTCCTTCGACACCTCCTCGTTCGGCGTCACGACAACGTTCGGCGGCGCCTCGATTGCGTCTGCGAGCGTCGACCACTGGCGGCCGCTGCGGCCGGTGACCTTCATCACGACAAGAGGCACCACCACGGGGATGGCCACCAGCGTGGCAATGGCCTGGACAATTAGAAAGGTGGGGCCAGGGTATGGGTAATGAGCCCTTCGGTGATGCTGCGCGCCGTGCGGCGCCGCGTTGCTTTCAAGTAGGCACAGGTGCGGCGATGCGCGCGCCACTTGCGGTGGCCGCGGGTGACGCCCTGGAGGGCGTGATGCTCAGCCAGCACAGGCTTCTCCAGCAAAACGGTAACGTAATGAAACATGCGATGGCGCCACCGGCACCGCGCGCCAGGGCTCCAGCGGCAGGCAGACGCTGCGGAGTGGGCGGCCAACTCCCGGCAACGCCGTGGGCGCGCATCCCCGTGCCCGACGGCGCCGCCCGCAGGTCCGTTGGCGGCCAAAACGCATTGGGAATAAAAACGTCGATCGGATATGGGTGCGCTCACCAGCGCCGCGAGAGCCTTGGGGATGATGGGGCTCGGCGGGGCCCTCGTCTTGGCTGGTTTCACCGGCCCTCCCGTGGAGGGCGTCTCAACGTCCGCCATATTTTTGCTGCTGCCAATCCACTGCGGCTGTCACAGCCCGGCCTCGAGGGAAAGCAGCGCACTCCCTGTGCACCTGCTGCAGCAGCCCTGTTGCAGCAATCCCTGCCTGCGCTGATACTGCAGGGCTGAGAAGCACTCCTCTATATAGAACTAAGAGTATGGCGCACAACGATTGGGCCGACACGCCCCAATGAAGCGGTGCTCTTGGCAAACGACTGGCAAGCCGCTGTAGCTTCTTAGGCCAGGCCGTGTATAAACACAGCACCACCGTAAACTCACCAGCGTCAAAACGTGGTTGCAAATATTAAAGCGGAAGCCGTTTGCCCACGCGCAGGGCAGCAGTTGGGTGCTATCGTATCGCTGGAGCATGCGGCGGAAGGTGAGGTCAGCCGCGTTCCCAAAGAGGTTGGCATGTAGAGAAGACAGCCTTAACGGCGCATTGTAGCCGCCTACAGGCACTTCTGCGACGCGGATGGCAGCCGGCATGGGGGGTGCCCGCCCCTCCCTTGGTGTGCAGTTGGAGCACCCTGCCAAAGTGCCAAGGGCTGCAAAATAGTAGATGCTTTTTTCATACAAGCCACAACGTGGTTCCCGGGGTCCCAGGTCGACCGAGACCGCATGCGCTACCTGCATGGCTGGTCAACACCTAAGTTTGACCTGCTCGTTGCCTGCATGCACAGCCATGATGTGTGCGTAAAACCTCAGGACTTGGTCGCCAGCAAGCTTTTACACCAGGCGTGCGCCTCGCATTATGGCCAGAGGAACCGCCGGCAATTCATTAATGTGGTAAGCGCGGATTCAGAGGAAGCCCTGTTTCGGTTGAGCGCCCGCGCCGGCGCGCACGATGGCGACGCGCAGAACGTTGGCCTCGTTGCACGCCTCTCTTGTGGTGCGCTGAGAGGTGCTCGACGCTCGAGCTCCATACAGAGATACACGCCAGCACACAGGTGCCGGCGTGATGCACCACAGCAAGCCGCATGCCCGCGGCAGATTGCGAAGCATCAAAGGCACGCTGATCGCCCGCACGCGCATGGAGCCAATATGTGCACATGGATGGCGCCCGCCGTGGCGCCCATATTTAAGTATGCAGGCGGCCGCAGCAGGTGCGCACCGTGGGAGCACGCATCCACGCACGTGAGGGGCGATGCACTGCAGCCCTCTGATCGCCCTCCACGTTGGCCTAGGGGCCAGGGCCATCTCAGCACTGCAACGCGCTGTATCAACGAGCATTGTTGGATGAGCACCGCTTTGCCTGGCACCCATGTCGGGCGGAAGGCAGCCCCAACAACCGTGCTGTCCGTGCCGACAGTGCTCAAAAAACCGGCTCACAAACAGTGCCACAGTTCCAAATGAAACAACACCAAACAGGCATCACCGCGTGCCGTCCACAACACGGAGAAGGGCACGCTGTGGCAGAGTGCCATGGTCGTCCCTTGGGCTGCACAAACGGCGCCCAGGCTGACTTGACTCACTGCTCACACAGACCTGCTCCCGTCATGCGCTGGGCTGGGCGATGGGTGTTTAGACGGGTGGCACAGGCAGACTGCCCTCACGCCCAGCCGCGCTGCGCCCAAGAGCGCCGGCGTCGGCAGCGCGCCGCTCGCGGCAACGCCATACATGCCACAGCGAGCGCGCGCCGGGTCGCGATCAGCTGCTGCTGCAGCCCTGGGCAAATGCGCCAGTCTGGGGCGCGCAGCACGCCTTCTGGGTCGGGAAGACCTGCTTGGCGCCGACGTTGAGGGCCTTGGCGCGGTCAAGAGAAGCAGCCGGGAAGCCAAAGTCAGCAGCCTTGGCCGTGGGGTCGGCGTCCGGGCCGAAAAGCACGGTCCACGCCATCGCCGCCTGCGGGTCGTTGGTGCAAGTGTAGCCGGCCGCGCCGAACCACGCGCCGAGCGCGCCGGGCGCGTTGGCGGCGGGGCCGGGGGCGGCGATGCAGGACGGGCGTGGGGGGACCGAATCCTTGAGCTTGAACATCTTTGCAGAGTGGTCGCGGATGACCTTCATGGTGCTGTCGCTGGGCATGACGCCATACGGGCCTGCGGGCCGTTGTTGGTCGAGGGAGGGGGCCGGGGGTGCGTCAGGTGGAATGATTGCTCGGAGTGAAAGCGCCGAAGCGGCTTCAGGCGCCGACGCGCGTGTGCTCCCAGAAGGCGCTGTGACAAAGCCGACCAAAGAGCCCCGTGCCGAGAAGCAGCCTCGGAGCCGGGCCGGCGCGCGACTTTCAGGGGCGGCGCCACCCACCCTTGCCGCCGCCCTGGAAGTTGCCGGGGAACGCCCACTTCCAGTACATCGAGCCCAGCAGCGGCTCGCTGTTCTCCACGGCCGTCTCGATGGCCGAGTAGGTGGCGCGGTACACCGGGTCGCGCAGCGTCGTCGCGTCAGACGCGCTGTCGGGGTTGTCCAGGCGCTTGCCGAACTCCTCAAACTGCCCGATTGGGGTGAGTGAGGGAAGGGGGGTTCTCGTGACTGCCGCAGCGCTGTGACGGGAATTGAGTGTGATACGCAGTTCACGATTTACATTGTGGCGGGCAGGCGGGGCAGAGAGCGATCCAACTGAGGGGGCGGGAGCGGGGTAGGGGGGCCGCGATGTGCGCTCACCAGGAGGGGCTTGCCGATGGACTTGGCTGCGTCGAGGTGGCTCTTCAGCCACTGCTGCAGGAAGCCGCCCTGGCTCTCCTGAGAGCTGTGGGGTGAAGTGGGGTGGCGCAGGCGACGCATGCGATACCAAGAGTCAATCGCAAAGGGAGGGCGGTCAAATGGGGCACACATACATATCAGCATCATCACAGCCATGCCAAGACACGCAAATTCTGCAAAAAAGGAAGCAGCGGGCGGAGGACTGGAGGCGGAGGGCTGGAGGCGGAAGGCTGCATGTTTTGCGGCGGGGGTGCGGCCAGCGACCCACATCATCCAGTTGTCGGGCCAGGCGTGCGCCACCGCGAAGTCCATGTCAGCGGTGTTGGCCAGGAAGTCCTGCCCCGTCTGGGTGGACCAGGCGCCCGGGTTCTTGCCGAGCCACGAGGGGTCAGAGTCCCCGAAGAAGCCCTCTGAGCCGGAGGACACCAGGTGGTTGGGGTCCTGCAGGGCGAATGTGAGGCCATGGGTTGGAGGCACGGGTCGTGGTGCTCGTGCGCATGCAGGCTGAAGTAGTGCTTGGTGCGTGCGCCTCGAACAAAAGCGCTCGTCTGGACCGTGGGCTGGAGGTTTGGCTCCGGCTCGGGAGCACGCTGGGAGTGGAGCGCTCCTCCGCCTCACACCGTGTGCAGATAGCTGACCCTTTTGGCTGGTGGCGCGCAGTGCCCTGGGCCAAGGGTATTGGGACCCGCCGCTCCATGCGCGCGCTCCCACCTCAGCTTTGAGGAACTTGGCCATCTTGGAGAACCAGGCATTGAGCTTCGCGGGGCAGTCCGGCGTCACCCACACCTCGCAGCGCGGCTCGTTGACGAGGTTCCAGGCCAGGATGGTGGGGTCGCTCTTGTACACACGGCCGTTGACGGAGTTCTGCGGTGGTGGGAGGGCGGCGCGGGTTTCAAAGTGCCAAAAGGACATTGCAGATATGCCGGGACGCCTGGGTGGGCCCCAGCCGCGGGTGACGACAGCGGCACGTCGTGCATGCAAACATGTGTGCATCGGCAGCGGTGGGGGTGCAGCCGGCAGCCAACCAAATGCTGGGGGCGGCGGGCAACTCCAAGGCCCCAGGCGGGGATTGTGGTGCCTGCAACCGCAGCGCAGCTCCAGGCTCAACAGCCGCACGCCTGGGACGCCTGCCGCTGTCATGCCCCAGAAACGGCCCCAACGCCCCACCTTGCGGTTCACGATGAACTTCATGTGGTTCTGGAACATGTCTTGGCACTTGGGCTCCGAGAAGAACAGGGAGTGGCGACCCGCCTCGTAGCGCTTCTGGTCGGGGCCCCACTTGCTGTCGTCGGTGTCGCCCCCGGCGTCGGTCGGCCGCCCCATCGTGCGGCCGGGCCCGCACCAGTCCACAAACTGCGCCGCGGCGGTTGGGCGTGTGCAGACATACGACGTGTCAAGCCACGCGTCGCACGATGCCGCTTAGCTGCACTCCTGAGATGACTCACAACCAATGCAGTGCCCACGGCGCGCCTAGGCTCCAGCTGTAGACTGGGCGCAGCTGCTGGGCTTGACTCTCTGCCACACCCACAGTAACCCCAGCGAGCCCTTGCCAAGCCTTTAGGCCCCACAGTGTGCGTACACACACACAAACACACACACATGTACATTCACACACGCACAGATTCACCAACATATCACACACACACACAGACACAGACACACACACACACACACACACGTGCCCACACGTTCACTCCAACGCAGACTCGCACATACGTAAGTGCACACACACAAACACACATGCACACACACGTTCAGACACACACACACACACACACGCACACGCACACGTTCACACACACCTGTGCGATGCCGTTGTAGTACTTCCAGTTGTCCACAAAGGACAGGACCAGCTGTATGCCGTGCCGCGAGGCGCTGTCCAGAACATAATCCAGGGCTGCCAGACCCTTGGGGTCATACTCACCAGGTGATGTCTGGGAAAGTGAAGTTCAAAGGCGATTCCAAGAGTAGGTGAAGCAGTGTGAGGAGAGGACTCGGCAGCCAGGGAAGGGTGCGCATGGCCAGGGCAGGGGCGGCATGTTGGAACGCAAGAGGGTGTGTCCTTGAATCCATCGAGCGAACGAAAGGCTACCCCGTGCTGCTGCCTGGGCTGGGTCAAGCACACACCTGGAACGGCAGCATCTGGTTGATGGAGTGGGCCCAGGTGCGGGCGGCGGTCATGCCCATGATCTGAGCCTGCTTGAAAGCCTCGTCCACCGCATCCTTGTTGCCCTCTGCGGTCCCATGGGATGAGCGTCACCGCCGCGCATGGCTTGAGCGGCCGGCCCGACGCACACGAGAGCGAGCCGTACAACATTGCCAGGGTCCAGCTAGGGCCCGTCCTCTCGCAACTCTGAGGCGGCCCACTCCCCCGCTTTACCCATCCTGCCTTCCAAGACATCACCACCCACGCGTGCAAGCAAAAGGAACGCACGGGCTGCGAGGATGAAGAGCTCAAACGCGTTGAAGCCGGTGGGGTAGTAGGGCCGGCAGTCCTTGTCGAACTGGGCGCCTTCCACGCGCACAAACGGCGACACCTCCTCGGAGCCAAACACAGGCAGCTGCCCAGCGCCGACCCTCCGCTTGCGCTGGCCCTTGGGCACCTTGATGGTGGCGTTGGTCTCCGCCAGGGAGCCAAAGTTGGGGATCTTCATGCCCGGCGGCAGCTTGTAGTCACTCATCCCCCCGGTGACGCCCGAGTCAGGGTTGCCCTGGGGGTGGCAGACGGGTTTGCCGCGGCGGCGTGGGCGGCGCGAGAGCGGCACGCGCGGCGCTTCGCGGCTCGGCGCGGCGCGGTCCTTGGCCCTGCGGCGCGGCTGTTGCTATTTTACGTGCGCATGGACCACCTCCGACCGCCGGCTCGTTGGTGCTGCTGGGCGTCTGGCGGTGTGGCTTGGTCTGCGGGCCCCCAACAAGGATGTGGCATCCCTGAACCTGGCGTAATCTTGACATCCCAGGCTCACCAAGGGGTCAAGGTACACAGCCTTGTTGCCGGAGCCGCCGTAACCACCCCAGTCAGGCAGGCGCGTCGACTTCTTCGCGTTGTTCTTCTGCGTCACCACTACCGCCGGCACCACAACCGCAGGAATCAGTAGCAGCGCAGCGAGAGAGCCGCCGGCAATCCACTTGTTCCGCGGCTTCGACAGCCACTCTTTGGCGCGCGCGCCAGCGCTTGCCGGTGCTGCTGCAGGAGCCCCGGGTGGCTTGACAGCCCCTGTGGGGCTTTCCGCTATGTTGACAACCATGTCATCGCCACCCTTCGACATTGCAATGCTGCTGCTGAAGTCTTCCTCGCGGCTGGGGGATGGACTTGGGGGCCGCGGGTGCAATGCGGCGATGCGAGGTGCCTGCGGGCCCAGACGCTCCGTGCCACTGCAATCCAATGGAAAGGTCAAAGTTCAAACGTATGCACGGGGGCGAGCGAATGTATGTGAGTTGGATGCGTGCCGAACGGTGCTAACTGTCCCTCCTGCCAGCAGACGTCCCGCAAGGACCTTGTTTGACTTGTAAGACGTAAATTGAAGGATTTTTTGCGCGTTTGTGTGCGCGTCACCCGTCATACCACGGCTCCACCGCACGGTGTTTTTATGGGCCTCCGTTCGCCCTGTCCGGCAGTGTCGGAGCGGAGGAGACTGTGTGGCGTGTTCGGCGCGGCCTTGACGCGGTGGTACCCTACAATCTTGCTGAAGAGCCAGCCTCAGGCTACAGGCCTGATGATGGTGCGATACAGCGGGCCGCCTTGCTGGCAGGGAGCCTTCGCTCACAGACGCATCGCAATGCAGACTGTGAGCAGGTGTCTAGTGATGCAGGTCAAATCTTGTGGATTAGAATGGATAAGCTACACAAACGCATGGGCACGCCGTGAAGGCAGCGGGCACGCAGCGGTCAACATAATGTTTGCAAGCAATGGAGACGATGGGCTGGCTTTGCCCTCACACAGGTACGAGCTTCAGCTCAGCAATATGTCTCACATGTTCTAGCAGATGTAGCGCACAGCGAAATGTATTGCAAGGGAGGCTGCAGACTTGGATTGGCATAGAGTGCTGCCTTGATCGCAACTCCGCTGCCCAGCCTGTTGACCGACGATTTCTCGGAGCGCCTCCCGTGTTTGCCCTTCCTTTCTTCAGATGTAACTTTCCTGAGGTTCAGGCCCTCGACTTTATCCAGCTGCGGAGCTGACCTGCCTGTCTTGAGCCATGTTTGAGTTGCTGCCAGCGGCGTCACCAGCTCACTCGGACCGCCTGAGTCGCATCCCGCAAGCCACCAGCTGACCTTGAAGATGCTATATGAACTGTAAAGATCCCAATAGGCTGATTTACGGGCTCAGGATGCCAAGATAGGTTGTCGCAAATCAAAGCGGATCCTTCTGGAACGCGAGGGCCGCACTGCAGGACGTTTCTATGGAGCGAACGCATTGGTCCTGAGGCACCAACAATGGACTGCACGGCGGTCACGCAGCTCGCGCACACGAGCAGCGGAAATGCGGACCCCGCCGCAGCTGCGCTCCTGCAGCTGCTGCAGGCCGCCCGCGCGCGCGGGGCAAACCTGCCAGAACTGTTGAAGGTGGGCGGGGCGGCGCGTTGGCCTGCTGCTGCAGAGCGGTGAAGAGGTGCTGCAGCAGGCACCGCGCGCCATGCACACGCGGCTGGCCGTGCCTGCCTTCGCCCCAAACACAGTGCGGCCCACTTCCTCACGAATGCGTTCGCTCCCATGCCCGAGCCATTCTGGGTGTCCCACCGTCTGCCTCACCGCCCTTACCGCTCAACGCCAGGCCCTGAGCGGCGCCGCGGAAGCTGGCGCCGCATCGGCCGAGCTGCAGCCCCTGTTGACCGTGGTCCGCCGCATGCAGGCAGCGCTCCTGCAGCAGTCGCGTCCGCAGCACTGCGTCCCAGGTGCGCCGCCGCGGCGGACCGGCGGGCGGCTGGGCTCCTCTCGCAAGGAGGGCCCTGCCTGCGGGTGGCAGCAAAATTCGGGGTGGTTATCGTTGCTGCTGGCTGTCTCTGTCACAGTCCTGCGCTTTGCGAGTTTGGGAGCACTATCAGTGTGTCATCTGTAGTGCTGCAGGTGAGTGTGGGCCCAAATCATCCCTTTTGTGACTGAACATCATCCATCACAATCGGGACACTTGATACAGACGCAGACGGCGTGCGGCACGCAGAGGCGGCGGCCCTCGCGCTCGCAGCCCTCGCGGGGCAAGGGGGCTCGCGCCCGTCGCGGCGGCAGCAGCGGCTCGCCGCGCCGCTGCTACGCGTGCTGTCGCCGTCGAGCGCGCACCTGGAAGTGCTCAGGCGGCTGGGGAGGGGCGGCTTCGGGTCGGTGTGCGCGGCGCGCTCGCGGCTGGACGGCAGGTGCGCTGGTGTATGGGGGACCTGGGGGTGGTTTTTGGGCAGCAGCGCTCACACAGCTGCAGACCGGTGGCTTATCGTGACGAAAAGGCTTGCGGCTTTTGAGGGGCCGCGCGGGTGGTTCACCCCACCCGGATGATGTTGGACAGCAGCAGCATTCCAAGCCAGCACTAGGGTATAGCCTGGCGGCTCAGCAACAGGCCACGCCTGCCAGCGCCGCAGGGTGTTTGCGCTCAAGCGCGTCGCGTTCAAGTCAGACGTGCCCCCCTGGGCGCCGCCAGAGGTGCTGGAGGCGGCAGAGTCTACGGTGCTGCGAGAGGTCGGTCATAGGGGCCGAGGTGGTTGGTCAAACCTGGTCAAACTATGCTGATTGGAGTAGTGGCCCACTGAAAATTGTTGCAGTCATCTGCAAGCAGCGACAGCACTCCTGTTCAACATTGCAGATTATGAATATGGACGGGATGGATAGGGCAGGCATGTTTCGGGCGTTGTGAATGTGCATATGCCTGGGCATACAACAGCCGCTGAACGCCGATCCAAAACAATCCCACAGGTTCGCACCCTGGCTGCGCTCGGCGACGGCTGCCCCCACGTCGTGCAGTACTACAGCGCCTGGCTCGAGGCCGACTGGGCGGGCCTGGGGCGCCGGCTGTGGCGGCGTCGCCGGCGCGAGGAGGCCCTCGCGCGAGACGGCGCAGACGAGCCCCAGCGCGGGCGCCGGCGGCGGCACCCGCACGGGGAGTCGGCTGCGCCGCTGGGGGCTGCAGCTGCAGCGGCCACACGCGGCGGCGCGGGGGCGGCGGCGCCGCCGTCCGGGGTCCCCGGCCTTGTCAGGGCTGGCAGCACAAGCGACGACACGGGTGTGTCAAGCAGCGACTTTGACAGGCGGCTGTCGTTGTCAGGCGGCGGCGCGGCGCCGACGTGCGTGATCACGGAAGTAGCGTCGGGCAGCAGCGAGGATCCGTCGACGTCGGGCGGCCGCCGGAATGGCCACAAGCGATGTGGGTGGCGGCGGCTTCCGCTTGGAAGGCTGGGCTCTGCGCCGCTTGGGCGGCCGAGTGGTTCGGCGGCGCCCCAAAGCGTGGTCATTGAGGAGCTCTCAACCACCAGCGCCGAGGCGGACGCGGCCCTGGGCGGCGACGACGGCGGCAGCAGCGACGGCAGGGGCAGCAGCAGCAGCGGGAGCGACACCAGTGGTGGGCACGGCAGCGACAGCGGCAGCGACGGCAGCAGCAGCGGCAGCAGCCGCAGCAGTAGCGGCAACACCAGCGGCAGCAGCAGCAGCAGCGGCGGCCGAGAAGGTGGCACCACAGGGAGCGACAGCGGTGCGACACCCGCCAGAGGCAGGTTGAGGGGCAACCGAGCTTGGTTGGACGGGCGAGGCGAAGGAGACAGCGTGAGTCGCTCCAGCCATAACTCGGCCTTCACCTTTGGAGACCAAAGCGGCCGCAGCGCCGGCTGGGACGACAAGGGCAGCGGGCGCACCAGGAGCGGGGGCAGCACCGGCCGCGCCTGGAGCAGCGGCGGCAGCAGTGACGGCGGCAGTTACAGGGACAGATCTTCTACCGGCAGAAGGGGGTCGGACAGAAGTCCATACAGCAGTGATAGCGGCGGGGATTCAGATGCCACAAGCAGCAGCGGCGGCAGTGGCAGGGGCAGCAGCATCCGGCCCGGCCGCGACTGCAGCAGCGGCGCCCCCCAGGATGGAACAGGAGGCACCTGGAGCAGTGGCGGTCGCCGCATAGGCAGCCATGCGTGGGCCTTGGTGCCTCACGCCAACGCAGCAGCCGCCTCAGCCCTGGGGTCACCCCTGCGCCCGCGCGGCGCAGGCAGCGGCGGCGCCAAGCATCTGGCGCCGCAGGGCCCGTCCGGCGCCGCGGCCGCGGGCGCCGCTGGCGCACCCTTGGACGCCTGGCCGCTGGCGTCGGCGGCGGGCCCCGGCTCGCGCTGGCCGTACGTCCTGAATGTCGCGATGGAGCTGGTGAGCGGCCCCACACTGCAGGAGTGGATGGCGGCGCGCTCGGCGGCGGGCGCGGCGGCCGCGGCGCCCGGCGCCGTCGAGCTGGAGATCTTCCGGCAGCTGGTGAGATCTGCCTTCCAGTAAGCCGGCCTTCCGTTTCCGACAGCGGGGCCGAGCCCGCGTTGAGCGGCCTAGCAAGCGCGTCCCATGGGTGCTTGGCTCCCCCTGCTGCGTGTGGCTGCTTGCAAGCCGGCCACACTGTGCGCATGGCTGCAGTGCACGTGGACAAGCTTTACTCTGTGGTCTGTCATGTTGTCCCCCCTGCCTGGCCCGACCACATCCGCCCCTAATTACGACGAACCGGCACCCACCACCCGACAGATTACCGGCCTGGCCTTCATCCACGCGCGGGGCATCATCCACCGCGACCTCAAACCCGCCAACATACTGCTGGGCGCCGGCCCCGGCCCGGCCGCTGCCGCCACCCACGCCGCAGCCGGCCCGAGCCGGCTTGGCGCGCTCGCGGGGGTCTGCGTGAAAATCGCAGACTTTGGGCTGGCCACCGCCGACTGGATGCGGTCGTGGGGGCAAGCGGCAGGCCTTGCCGGCAGCAGCAGCGGCAGCTTCAGCGACTGGGGCTCCGGCCCCACCGACAGCGCCGGCAGCGCCTGCTGCCAGCACACGAGCGGCGTGGGCACTGCGTCCTACGCGGCCCCGGAGCAGCTGGGCGGCGGCAGCGGCGGCGGCGGCGGTGTCGAGGGCGGGGCGGGTGGCGGCGGCGGTGGGGGTTACTCGTCGGCGGTTGACCTGTGGAGTGCGGGGCTGGTTCTGATGGAGCTGTTCTGCAGATTCACCACAGGTGTGCATTTTTGCATGTGCGTGTATGGATGTGTGCGTGTATGCCGCCGTGCGCATGTTGTGTGTGTGTGTGTGTGTGAAGTGTGCGTGTGCGTGTGCGTGTGCGTACATGCGCAAGTCCCTCATGCATTATGCCAGAGGAAATTGTATGCTCCCGCTGTGTCCTCACTTCTTGGCTTCCATCGGAAGCTGGAACCGTCCAAGCAATTGCAGTGGGTGCTTGCTGAATGTGGCGACGCCAGGCTGACACCGCCTCTCCAGCTTCCGCTGCTGCTGTTTCCATACGCAGCAACTGCGTTCCCCTCCCCACAGGCATGGAGCGTGCGGCCGCCTTTGCAGACGCCCGTCAGGGCCGCGGCCCGCCGGCGGCGCTGGAGCGGCAGCACCCGCAGGTGGCCTCCGTCGTGCGGCTGCTGCTGCACGCCGACCGCGCCCGCCGTCCGACGGCGCGGCAGCTGCTGGCCCACCCGCTGCTGTCGGCCAGCGGCCGGGACCCTTGGCTTGAAGGGGGCGGCCGCCCCGCGGCTGCGGGCTGCGCGGGAGCCGCCGGCGACACCCGCAGCTCGCAACGAGGGGAGGACGCAGCAGCGGGCGGCCTGCAGGCAAGCGCGCCGGCGGGCGCCGGCGCGGGCCCTGGCGCGGGGCGAGCCATGTACCGAGGCGCGTGGCTGGGCGCGGGCGAGCTGGTGACGCTGCTGCTAGAAAGGGACGCTGAGGTGGCGCGCCTCAAGGCAGCGCTGGCAGGGCGTGAGCGGGGCCCAGCCGCCATGGACGGGACGCGGGGAACCCCCACGGGCGCCTGCGATGGCGGCGGCAGAGGTGTAACATGAGCCGCATGTTGGCCATCGGCTGTGGGCTGCTGCGTTGGAAACTTGGTGCAGGGCAGGATGAGGCCAGACTGTCATAGGGTGCATGGCAGCGGCGTGCCAACCAACGATGTGAGCCCGTGAGCATCAGGTTCAAATGAATATGACCGCAGCATAGTTGGGTCCTACAGTACGCCGCTGGCACAGCCAACAAGGATGCTGCTGAGACTAGCAGCAGCTGCAACCCGGGGTCACAAGCACGCAGGGGGCCGGGTCGTCATTGTCATTCTTAGGAACACGGGCATAAATACTCGCAATATGTTTGTCATCTGTACATAAATGTTATGAGATAATACATGCGCGAGTGCACCTGCCGGCAACGCCGCAACCAAGGGGGTCGCTGCGCTGCAGACAGGACGATGGGGCCACCACTGTCACCTGCACTGTGCCGGCTGGCAACAATGTCGACTGCGAAGACATGTAGCGGGTAGGGGCGTCGTATGGGGTGCACCGCTTCAATAATCCGCCGGAAAGACAATTACCATTGGAGCGCTGACGGCTCGTGATGCGCTCACAAGCGTCCAGGTACCGCAGAGCCTTTGACACCGCGCCGACTTGCGATGGACAGTAACTGCGCTGCAAAGTTTGCGTCCTGGCCGCGGTCCATGCCATACTTGGACCCTTGATCAATGCGGATTTCATGTAACGTGTGTTGGTCTTGTACGTTAGCGCATGCCCGCGACCGCGTGCGTGAGGGTGTGCATCTGCGTGCATGCCTGGGTGTGCGTGCGTGAGTGTGGGGGGTAGTCCCCCTCGCCATTGCAACCATCACCGTCAATTCGAGTAAGGCGGTTCATCCCATCACCTGTGATGTATATTTGCGGTTTGCAAGTGACACGCCATGTGATTCTGGCAGAGGAAAAGAAAACTACTACTGTAAAGCAGTGCAGCCTGTGTGTATTTTCTTGGTTCTCATGGTCACCTCAACGGGGGCAAGCGAGACTGCCTTGCCGCTGCTGTGAAGGGCTCGTTTCCGCCGAGTGGGGCCCTATTGTTCGCTTTCAGCTCTTACGCTCTACCGACGCGCCGCTGTTCCACTCGTCGCCCATCACCACGCGTGCAATCCCTCATTGCACTTGAGCTCAACTTTTCCCACAGCGTTGATACACGTACAACACCCGCACCAGGGTAGCCTTGCGATAAACATTACACAACAGCTCAAGGCTGTGGTTTGTGTCTGTTCAAGTCAATCAGCCAGCTGCAGTGCCCATACCAAGGTGCGTGCGTGCACGGACAGGTGGCGAATGAGCGGCATGCGGGCAGGCTTCTTGCAGGGCATGCAGGAGTGAGGCGCGTGGGTGGGCGCTACAGGGCGAGCTTCCAGCTGGCCGCCACCTCTGTGTTGGTATGCCAGCAACTGCGAGCGAGCAGGACGCGAGGCTGGCGCAAAACACCAGTGTGTGTGCAGTGCAGTGCGCTCACTGGCATTTTGAGCCAATGACAGCAAAATGCAAGCTCAGCTGTATGTGCAGTACAAATTGCATGTGAAGTACAAACGTGTCGACATGCTTACAGAAGGGATCAGGTGGCAGCCTGACTGCTTCGTCAGAAAAGGCGCAAGTCTCTGGACATTGGTCACCCAAAGGTTGGCCAGTGAGTCATGGCGAGATCAACCCTCAAGGCACACGTACAACGCCGGCGTAACCGGGAACATATTTCGCCCTCCTTTCTCATACGATCAGTACTTTCATTACACCTGGTCCACGAGCACCCTGTGCTGTCGGGCCGACGGACCCCTCCGCGATGGGCCGGGTAGCCGAGTAGCCAGACTGGGGAGGGACAGCGCATACGATTTATGCTGGTGGCGCTTGTGTTGGTCCTGGCAGGCACGGCGGCCGCACAGGCAAGTTCGCCAGTTGCTGTTGCGTTGTCGCGCCCGCTGCACTGACTGCGACACTTGCAGAGGCTGCCGCCTCCTGTTTGCGGGTATGCATGACTCGGCAGTCCGGCAACGTCGCGGTACCTGGCATCACTGCGCTGCAGGCTATGCCCACCGAGCAGCGGGAGCCGCCTGCCCGCCAGGCGGCCCCCGCCCCCACCACGCCCAACGCAGAAGTGCCCCTTTCCCCCCGTACCCCCGCCAGGCCGCCGGCCCGCCTGGCATGGGGAATGCATCCGCGCCGGACCTGGCACCTGTCAATCAGAAGCTGCTCAACAGCGAGGGGCTCATGTTGGCTTCGCAGTTTCTGATGCTGACGGAGGCGGCCGGCAAGACCGACGGCAACTCGACGTTTTTGAAACCGCTCATGAGCCCGGCCTACCAGATTGTCCGCGCAGATGGGAGCAGAGAGACGCCGGTGCGAGGGCAGACTGCGTTCTGGCCGGCTGCGTGCTCGCGCGTTACGCCTTGCACTCGGCAGCGCCGCGCAGCGCGCGCGCCTGCGCTGCCGTGCGCTCGGTCTGTCCCGTTTGCCCACGCCACGTGGGGCCGCGCTCCCTTCGCTGTGCGGCACAAAACCGCGCCGAGGTCTCGCTGTCACGCGCCACCTGCTCCCCAACGTGTCGGGTACATCGCAGAGCACCTACACCGCACCCAACCTCAGCAGCTACGAGGTCTTTGGCGCCATAGCCACGGAACCCGACCCTGACGTGCTTGTGGTGCGCACGGCGGCCGCTCGCGGCCACAAGCGGCGGCGGCGGCGGCAGCGGCGGCGACCGCAGCCCCTCGCGTGCGAAGCGATTCCCCCGTGCAGGGCAGCCGCACCTGCCTGCGGCGGCGCAGTGCGCGGCGAGCGTCCCTTGTCGCCGCCCAAACGTGCGCCGGCCCGGGCCAACCTTATGTCCAGTTGCCTTACATCCACCCGTCTGCATGCCGGATACGCGTCATCCACGCGCGCTGCAGGTTCGATATTACGTCGCTTCGAACGAGACGCTGCATGGCAAGCAGCTTAACACGAGCCGGCGGCCACGGCTGACGGTTTTTGCGCGGGGCGCGGTGGAGGGCGACGAGGGTGGGGCGAATGCGAGCTGGAAGCTTGTCAGGTGAGAGCGAGGGGCCCTCGGTGTTCACGAGGTTGTTGTGGTGCTGCATGTGTAGAGAAAGATTGTGTTGGGGCACTTGTGAGTGTGTGTGTGTGTGTGCGTGTGAAACAGAGTGTGTGTGTGTGTGTGTGTGTGTGTGTGCGCGCGCGTGCGCGTGCGTGTGATGCACACACGCGGCCAACTGCATGAACGCGCGTATGCGTTTGGCGCCCGCGGCATCCCTTACAGCCTGTCGCCTTGCTGTGCCCCTCAAAAGGCAATAGGCAGCCCGAAGGCAACTGAATGAACCAGCTCGCCCTTCAGCCTCGGCTCATGTGCGCGCCCCTCTGCACACAGCTCTGCCGTCCAGCTGGCGCCCCAAACGCCCTCGCCCCCACCTCTTGCGCCGCCCACGCTCACGCGCGCCCCAACCGTGCAGCCACGCCGGCTTCAACGAGCCGATGGTGCTCGAGTGCGACCGCGGCGACGACGACCCCAGCACGCCGCCGCAGGGCCCCGCGGCGGCCCTTGGCGTGCGGGTCATCCGGGAGTGGATGGCGGCGGTGCGGGACGGCAGGCAGCTGGACACGATCAACAACGAGATCCAGGTCCAATTCGCAAACGGCAGCGGCTTCGCGAGGCGGAAAGAGATCGCCCCGATAAAGCCGATGCCGATCGACGGGTACACGCGGCTGATCGCGACGCGCAGCGGCCGGCTGCTGGTGCTGTCGTACTACGCGACCAGCCGGGTCGCCACGCGCGGCCGGCCGCACCTAACGGTGTTCCTGGAGGACGGCGGGCCGCTGGCGGGAAACTGGTCCATGTGAGCGCCCGCGCCTGCGCCTGTGTCTTTGCGCGCGCCCTGCCCCGCCCCCCTGCGCGAAACGGGGTGGAACGGGGCAGAGGGGTCGGAAGGGGGGAAGGCGGCGATGGAACGCCGCGCCCGCGGCGCAGTCGCCCGGTCGTTCGCGGCTTTTTGGTGCGGGCTGGGGGCGCCCCTGCCGGCCTGGCGCTCCAGGCCGGCGTCGCTGGTTGTGTTCTGTCGTGGTGTGCCCGCTCCCACTGGGCCCCTGCTGAAACCCTGAGCCTTTCCCTTCCGCCCCTCGCGCGCAGGATCGCCCAGTGCAACTTCAACAACCCAAAGTTGGCCCCGACAGACCCCGCATGCACCGGCGCGGGCAACGCGGCGGGCGCCCCGTGGGGCGCGGCCCGGGCCCCTTGGGTGCTCGTTGCGGCAGCGGCGCTGGCAATATGGCTCGCAGCCGCGCCGGCGGCGTGAGCGCGGGGCCGCGCGACCGCGGGTTCCCAGGCCCGCTCTTGTGCGGACGCTCCGCCCTCGCATGCGGGCGAGCCTCTTCTTTGCACCGCGGCGCGGCCGATCTGAACGCGCTTGGTGCAGTTGCGTCCTGCAAGCGGCGACGGCACCAGCAACGCTCATCTTGTGTGCCCGCGCCTGCCATTTCATTACCTCCAAAACAAGGCGCTCGCTGTATGTCAACGTATGCGTCATAGCATTTGATTCGACATGAAATGGCCGCATATACATGCCATGGGGACGTGGCCGCTTTGCTGGCAAGCATGCGTGCCGCGACGGCTGAGGTGGAGGAGAACACCTCAGACAGCCCAAGATTTGTTCGCACCACGAGATGGTGCTTTTTCTTTTTGGGGGCTTCTTACTGTGCCGGTCAAGAGTCATGTACACTGTCTTGTTTTAGCAAGCACTTGCACACAAGCCACATACCAACACGTGTTTCCCGTCATCAGACCCTCGGTTGTTGTGAGGCGGGTGCACGCTCGCGTCGCTGTGCAGGAGTGCAATGCACCTTGCAACGAAACCAGTAATACCCAACTGCTGTGCGTGTGTCCGCGAGCCACAGGCAGCATCCTTAAAGGAATGCTGGCTGGCATTGCCAGCTGGCAGGTCCAGCCATGCAACAGCTTGCGCAGGGCCAGGGCAGCGACATCCGCATAGTGCAACTATCGCTTCCCTCAGCCTGGACAGCCCTTCAGCTATTTCGCCGGGGTCCAGAGTGGGCATGCCCCTCGTATTGCCGTTGTGCAGGAGCACCAAACACCGGCACACGGGCGGTGGGCGGCCGCTGCCAGCGCTCTGACTGCGTGGTGCGACTTGATTTCATGCACATGAGAGCAGTCCCTGGCAAGAGACTTGGCATGTGATGTGCGTCGCTCTCGCTTTCGCGCCCCACCCCTTTTTAACCCCACGTCAATCCAGGCGCGGTCCACAGCATCGTTTGCGGCGCCGACACACGTTGTTGCATGTGAGTTCAGAATACAAGCATAATTCTAAACTGATAGTTCATGCGATGCGGGGATGTAGGGGAGTTTGGCGGCGATCACCCAGCTGCAGTGGGCAAAATTTGAATCGCCCCACTGGATCAGTGTGACTTCCACGCTTTGGTGCATCGGCGCATCCAACACACCGCGTTAAGACTGATAGATGCCGTGAAGTTCTCATTGTTATTAGCCGCAGCTTTTTGTGCCTCACAGCGCGGCTGTGACACGGGATTCATTGGGCGGGCGAAGTGCCACTGTGATCTGCTCGTCAACTTTCCTTTTTGAATGTGCTCTTCTCTCCGGTATTATAATCTCATACATTGTATCATTTTTTTTCTACACTTGTATCAGCCGCCCAAACAACTCGACGCTGGTGCACGAGCAGTATCACCATGATCGCCTGAAGCGCGCACTTATTCCAGCACCTGCTCAAGGGAAGTGGCAGCACCTCAGCAATTTGAAAAGTCATGGACGCTCAACCGAAGCGAGTGGCGCGCGACACCAGTGCAGCTGCCCCACCCCCATCGAAGCGGCCGCGCGCCGGCAAGCATGCCGCTGGCCCATCCTCGCAAGCGCGGCCCGCCGCCCAGCCGCCGCGGGGCACGACGCCCGCTCCGCGCGCGCCGGCGGCGGCGACGCCGTTTGACCTGCGCGAGTGGGTGGGGGAGGGGGCAGGGGATGACACTGTGACTTGGCTGCAGCGCCACCTCGATGCGGCGCGCAAGCCAGAGGCGTACCCAGGCGGCCGGGAGTACTCATTCCTAGGCGATCCCATGAGCAGGGTGAGGCGGCGCGGACCGGCTTGATGGGCGCGTGTCGGTGGCAGTGGTACGGTCGCCGGCGCTTGCCTCGGACTTCAGAGCAGCAGTCCCTAGGACGGCCAGAACCAGCACCGGATGCCGGTTGTGCGCGCCGGTTCGCGCCGCTCCCTCAGGCGGCGGTGGATCTTCCATAGCAACGCAGCGCCGCCACACGCAGATGCGCCAGCCCGGCCGCAGCAGGCCCGCCGTCACGGCATTCCGCCGTCACGCCACGTCGGGCGGAGCCCCCCAAACCCCTCCCCGCCTGTTATCGTCCGCAGGAGGAGGTCGCGGCGCACTATGGCCCCTGCAGCAAGCACTGGCCGCGTCGCAACGGCTTCCTGGTGCCCGTCCCAGACAGCTGCGGGACCCCTGCGCTGGAGTCCCTGCTGGAAGCCGAGCAGGCGGCGAAGCGCAGGGCCCGTAGCTGCGCCGACGAGCCGGACGTCGCGCAGCACGTGGGTGGCGTTTCCACGCGGCGCGCGGCGGGCGAAGGAAGCGCGCCGATCCGCGCTGCTGGCCCACCTGTCCTGCGATCAATCGCGCCTCGTGGCCCCTCGAATGGCCCACCCCTGGGCCCGCGCCTGCCGGCGAGCCGATGCACGGGTGCATCCCTATGCAACAGCAAGCAGTCAGAACCATAAATCAATTGCAGCGCATGCACACACACACACATACACACACACATGCCCTCCCTTTCTCTTTCTCTCTCTCACACACACATGCACACGTGCGCATACACACACATACACACACTCGTGCGTGCAGTATGACGACGAGGAGCAGTATGCGCTGTTCCATTTCAGCGGCGTGCGCATGGTGGACCGGCAGCCCGAGGACGGGGACCCGGAAGAGTTTGAGGTTAGTGGCTGCGGTGGACGCGCGGCTGGTCCCCAGCGTCTGCACGCGCCTGTGTTTGTGCGTGAGTGTTCGCATGTCTGGTGGATGTGACCCGGATGTGCGGGTGGTGGGCGGGAGTGCTGTACAGGTGAGTCGCGCGTTGTGCTTGTGAGCTCGTTTATGGATTTTCTTGGGGGGGGGGGGCGTTCATGCGAGCGTGGTCTGGTGCAAGCTGGCTAAGGGCCGGGCCCGGGCTGCTGCGCGGCAGGGCCGTTCGCCTGCAAAGCGAGCGCCACCCAACAACCGCACCTCATGCCGGCTCGCACCCGGGACGGCCGCGGCCCCAGCCCGGCCCCCGACCCGCGGCCGCCCCGCCCGGGCCAAACCGCGTTCCCTGTGCCCCGCGCCCCGCTGCATCCCCCCCTCCAGGTGCGCCTGGGCGACTGCGTGACGGTGCTGGCCGGCGACTTTGCTGACGAGGACGGCGGCGACGTGCATCACCTGCTGCGCATCACAGAGATATTCTACACCGCAGGGGTGCGCGCGCCGCACGTGCAGATTATCGCTTGGCAGCCAGGCACGCGCGCGGCCTGGCTGCTGGGGCTCACGCCAGCACGCAGGGGGTGCGGCGTTGACAGGCTCGTTGCAGCGTGGGACGACAAGTAGCGCGGGCCGCGACAGGGGCGCCCCAGGCCTCCCGTCTCCCCCGCCGCACGCCAGCTCCTTTGTGCCGGCGCGCCCCAGCCGCTGCTGCCCCGGCCCGCGCCCATCACGCTCTGCTCAAATTGTCTGATTTCTCTTTCATGCTGCAGGGGCAGCGGCTGTTCCGCGTCAACTGGTTCTACAAGGACATTGACACCGCCATGGCCGTCAAGGTCAAGGACAGGTGCTTGATAGGCGCCGCCAGACCACGACGATGCACCAGATCACGATAGTGAACTAGATCACAAACGCCTGTCCGTTGGTCTTCCTGGGGAGGGGGCCTCACCAGACGGCGGCGTGGCAGCCAGCCCGCGGCTGCAAACGCGCGCCTGCCCTCGGCACTCCGTCGCCATGCCTTCTTCCCTCCCCCTCCCCCACCAATGCCCTCCGCCCCTGTCGCGCAGGCGCCGCATGCCGCTCGTCTTCAGCGAGCCGCGCCGCGTGTGGCTGGCCACGGTGGAGGACAACGAGACCTACAACAAGTGCTACTGCCTGTCGCAGATTGCAATGTGAGCCCCTACCAGGTCCCACGATCGATCCCTGGCAACGCAACGGTTTTTTCCAATGCTAGGCCACCCCCTGCAAAGCACCACGCCGGCGAGGATTCGCTGCTTCTGGGCTTGGCCCGCGCCTTTGGCCCCGCTTTCATCGGGCCCCGCCCACCTCTCCTCCCAAACTGCTGTGACCTCCTCCGCAGCAAACAGCGCGTTTTCAAGGTGCGGCCTGGCGCTGCGCAGCTACCCGCTGGGTTTGACCAGGACCATGATTGGTACTACAGCCAGATTCACACCCAGGTGAGGGCTGGGGCTGAGGCAAAGGCCGGGCTTTGATTGCAGCGCGAGGCCACCGTTGAGGCTGGTCTTCGAGCGCTGACATGGGGAGGGACTGCGGCAGATGCGGATTGGCAGGGTGAGGGTTCATGCTGGGGGCCCAAAAACGCCCTGGAATGGGCGGTGATCAGGAGTCGCGGCGGGGGGGTGCGGTGGGGCCAAAGCGGGGGTGTCGCGCCAGCACGTCCGTGGACCTGCCAACTGGGACGCTGCGCCGCCGCCGCTCTTTGCGCCACTGACGCACGCGTGTTGCCCTCCCTCCCGCACCCCCAGCGCTGCATCACCAACGAGGACTGCTACCTGGACCTGTCACCCTGGAGCGAGGATTACATGTGAGCACACAGCGCGCACAGCGCGAGCAGAGCGCACAATGCGCTCGCGACGCAGGCAGGGCCGCTCCCGCCCCTGCGCCAGCGCCTCGACGCGCGCCTTGATGGCAGGCCAAAGAATCCCCCCTCTGACACAGCGATCTGGCTCCTGCGGCTCCACTTGGCAAACTTGTGAATGCATTGAAGAAAGTGGTGCGCGCTTGTGCACGCGACCAACGCGCGTGATCCAATCAAAGCAGCAAAGCCGTGCGTGCTCGCTCACAGCAAACTTCCACCTGCAGCCGTCGCCCGACCCCCACTATCGCACACACCACGACCACCGCAAATGCCTTGGCGTGCGCCCCCAATGCTGCCAGGCGGCTGCTCGCTGACGAGGGGCTGGAAGGTATCAGGAAGCTGCGGCAGGGCCCCAGCGCGACCACGCTCACGCGCGGCAGGCAGCCGATCACGGGCGCCGAGGAGCGGGTGGGTCGCGGGGGCGCGGGCCGCTTTGTGCGCTAGCCGTTCAGAGGGCCTGCGTGCTTGGCGGCGGAGTGCCGCACCGCGAAATGCCCAGCCAGCCTTTTGATCGCCTGCCCTGGGCTGGGCCCTCCAGTGCGTCCTCCCACGCGAAAGCTGCGCCGCCCAGACCATGCTCGCTGCCCCTGCCTCGCGCGGCGCCCCTCGATCCGAGCGCACCCTCCCTCCAGCCACAACCAGCTCCCAGCGTCGGCCGAAACACGGATCATCCCGACACACCACCTTCGGGGATGTTGCTCCCAATCAATGTTTTACCATTGATTGCAGTTTACTCAATCGACAATTTCCCCCCCTCCACAGGAGCTGCTCGTCCTGGACATATTCGCCGGCGCCGGCGGCCTCTCCTTCCTGGAGCAGCGCCGCGGCGCGCCCGCCACGCGCGCCGCGCTGGAGCGCCGCGGCGTGCCGGCGTCTGCGTCGGCGGCGCTGGGCATCCGCTCGCGCTGGGCGGTGGACCTCAACGCGAGCGCTATCGCGACGTACCGCGCAAACCACGGCGACAGCGTCGACGTGAGGGCGGCCGGGCTGCGCTGCGGTTACGCGCGGGGTGTTGTGTTGTGTAGAGTGGTGTTGTGTGGTGTGGGGTGGGGTGTGGTGCGGTGTGGTGTGGTGTGGTGTGGTGTGGTGTGGTGTCTGTTAAACGGGGCCCTTACTACACACGTTCGCCCTCTACCGTCTGTGTGTATGCGTTTGCGCGTACTCGTGCATGCGGGCGCACGCACGCGCGCGTGTGTGTGCGTGTGTGTGTGTGTGTAGGTGCGTGTGCGCACGCGCACATGTGTTTGTGTATGTGCGCATGTGTCAGTGTGTGGGGGTGTGTGGCATGCTCGATTGTGGTTTATGTCTGCTCACTTGCCAAGGTTTCTTCCCCAAATAACTTACCAGCACGGCACCTGCAGCCAGCAGGCGGCATCCAGGGCCCTCTGGCGCAACCCCCAGACCCTCCCCCACAGGCTGCATGCCTGGGCCGCACCCCAGACCCCTCAGCCCGCCGGTCCCCCGCCCGCTGCGTCTGTCGCAGGCGTTCTGCATGGGGCTGGAGGAGTTTGTGATGCTCTGCAAGCACTTCAGGGACCTCGCAGTCAAGGTGGGGCGCGGGGCCAGCCGCTTGTGGCCTCACCTCGGGTGTTTCAACCCTGTCTGTACTTTGTCTTGTTGGAACAGCAACAGAATAGGAACTCAGGAGGGTGTGGGGTTGGGGCGTAGGCCTGTTTGGTCTGATCTTAGTAAGACTTATCACACCCCTAATGATCTACTCTGAGGGCTTCAATGGCAAGAGTGTTAAGCTGAGCACGTTGTTTAAGGACCTCGCATTACTCAATTTTTGAGGCGGGAATTGCTGACCGAGGCGTCGATCCGGCCCCGCCCTCACACAACCACCGCAGGTGCTGCCAAAGGCCGCGGCCGGCGGCGACGCGGCGGCGCTCAAGGCGGCGATCCGGCGCTCTGAGGCCGAGGTGGCTGCGGGCGCTGACGAGGACGACGCGGTCGACCGCCGCATGAATCCCCGGGTGCGGGGGCCGTGTGTGGGGGGCCGTTAAACGGGCAAACAATGAGGACTCCTTGGACTTGCCGCCCTCCTGACACGACGCCTCGATCTCCCTCCTCCCACCCGGCCCCTGCCCCGCCCCTGACTGCGGTTCCAATGCAATCAGCCCGCCCCTCCTGCGACCCCGTCTGTCGCTCCGCCCACCCTTGACCATCTTCCTTTTGGGCCCTTTTTTCACCTCTGCCCCCCAACCTGCCCCCCTGCAACCCCACCCAGGTGTGTGAGGTGCTGGCGGTGCGCCTGAGCGAGGACGCGGAGCGCATCAAGCAGGGGACCAACAAGGGGCAGCTGGCCAAGGCACTGGAGAAGGAACAGGTGGGGCCAGCCGCGGGGCGCCAGCATGCACGCACGCGTCTTCGGGTCTGTTTCATAGGGTCCAAAGCTTGCAAATCAGGGTTGAAGGCAGCGTGCATGTTCACATCTTTTGTGGTGAAGGCGTGCGTGTGTCTGTGAGCACGCGGAGGCTCGTGCCTGCACCCGTGTGCGGCGCGCTATGAGCGCCTCCGCCGCGCACCCGCGCGGTTCCCCCCAGCACCGCGGGACCGGGGCGCCGCCGGCGCCGCGCGGCCGGCCGAGCCCGGCAGGCGCGGCGCGCCCGGGCCGCGCC